AAAATAAAATACTATGAGGCATCGGATCTAGGATCAACAAATGAGTGGCTCACATGATCAAAGTTGAACGGCTAGATGGTAAGGAAAGCATAGATCTTCCATGCTGCAGGAGAAGTATAAAAACTTTTCCCAATTATTTAAAGGAAAAGGTTTATATACAGTTGCAACCTTAAAATGTATAATTAAAGATGCACCTAAAAAATCCATCGGAAATGGTTGTTTTGATATTGAAAATTCATCTAATTGATCATCTCGACATCAAGATGTATGAATAAGAAGAAAAAAGAAACAAAAATATTTTGAGTCTTAGAAATAATGCATATTACAATATATTATCTAGACCATTTTTAAGATTTTCATATGTTTATAACTCTACTTGATTTTAACCATTTTTGGAGCTTAAAATTTTATAATTAGAGATGAAAATAGATTTTCAGATAATTTTAAGAATTGTTTACGCTAAAATTATATGTTATGATAAACTTTTGGTGGTGTGCCTTAATTGGATTGTTTAAAGTTGCAACCTTATACAAACCACACCCTTATTTAAATACCCCTAAATAAAAAGTTATTACATTATAAGATAAGGGTATTAACTATTAAGTATTAAAAAATATTAAGTACATTAAGCATATGCTCCAGAAGTAGCATAACAAAACATTGTATTTTATACTTGTTTGCACTATTCATCTAAATTCTACAGAAATCATAAGATGTTCACTATTTTGGAGGTCCAAATTCACGAATACGAAATAAAAAATGATTTCGAATGAGCGAACATGTGTATGGGGGTATATATACTATGCCACCGCAGGCGCACACTCTGCTTTGGAACCACCTAAGAATCACTAGACGATGTTTTTCAACAAAAAATTTGAATTTTGAGTTTTTCGATGCTTAGATCTCCCCTTGTTCAATCTTGAAACATTTTTTCTTTTTAGCACATAGAGAGTTCAATTCATGATTTTTTTTAGTGTCCTAAAATTACTTCTATAGTGGGTTTTACTTGACTGTGCAAATGAGCAGTATACTCCGGCAGAAGTATAAAATCCCTGGCATGGATCGATTATCAAGTCCTTGAAAACCTTAAACATAAGTCGGCCAGCTCACAAAAAATTTCACCACTGAATTTTCCCTTTCATTTCTATGAGATTTCATCGCTACACCGTTAAAATTTGCTTCACATTCCTAAGGGAGATCACCTTCCTCTCTTACTCTTTCAATTTATCTCCCATCGCATTGGCCACCGTCGTTCATTCGTCCACGAGTGCATATATTGTGCTTCTGCAAGAGTACACTATACATTTCGTCCTTTGGGTAAAAGATATAAGGCATATTTTATCCCCTTGAAACTTAGGAAGCCACTTAAGATCACCATTTAGATTTTGCGAATGTCTATAAATCTGGTCTTCAATGTCTGATAAACTTTCGAGTTTTAAACCTGACGTATAAAGGATATTATGCCACAAAAAGAACACATAACAACATCTCTCTCTCTCTCTAGGGCTTTATAAATGACATTATGCCACAAAAAAAACACAACATGTCCATGTATCTCTCTCTAAGGGTGGCAACAGGTCGAGTCGTGTCCAGGTCCACCCCGACTTGAAAATATGATATGGGAATCGGACCTAAATTCACTAGACCCAGACTTGGATCAAAAAATATCTAATGTGGGGCTCAGCCTGATCTAAAAAATTATATNAGTCGTGGGAGGCAAGGCACACGAGGGGATAGG